TGTTTTATATTCAACAGTTTGTGTACATTTGGTTTCACTCCCCAATTACCATCCCCAGTCCTAACCCATTCTCCTCCTCTCCCTTCCCAGTAATGTCCCCATCCCTGTGCTCCTCTTAGTTGTGCATTCCTCTTCGTCCAGCTTTCCTCCATGTGAATGTTACCCCTCTGGTTCCCCATGGGTGATTGCTCCAAGGGATGTATCTCCGTAGAGTAGGTGGGTGCACTGCCCTGGGTTGAGTGTTCTGCGTGTAAGTTGGGCTAAGGACCAGCCCTTGGGAGTGAATTTTATTCTAGCCCTAAAGTGTGTCCTAGGGCCATAGTCTTGGGGGTCCCACCAGACTCCATCCAACCAGTAATTCTGGTCATTGTGTTTTTGGATTTTGTTTCATGTTTTTCCTCCCAGTCTATTCAGGATCTTCAGTTTTGATCTCTTCCCAAGTGGCTAGCATTGGTAGCCGGGCACCATCTAGGTCTTCTAGTCTCAAGATCCATCATGTCCTAGGTCTGATTGTTTCCTAATGCCCTTGGTTTTCTTCACTCTTCTTCGCTTCTGACAGTAGGAGACCATTAGCTGCATCTTAGGTGGCCACTTGAAAGCTTTTAAGACCTAGTTGCTACTCACCATTACAGGTTATGGAGCAAGAAATTTATGTATTTTGTTGTGTCAGTTGAGTCTGGTGTCCCCAAATACTATGGTCCTGAGTCAGTAGATCCAGTGGCTCTCCTCCCCCCATGTCTGGCTGTCTTTGTGGGATTGCTCTACATCCGTCTTCTCTTGCTTCGCTAATGATTATGGTTATTAGTATCTGTGCAAGATTAGCCTCAGCTGTGATGCAAGAATTTCAAATTTTGCAAACTGATATTATTTTTCTATATCATTTTTTCTCTAGTAAAATGTATATAAAAAATTTCTAAGTAATATCACCTACAACACAACAAAATCAGTGTTACCTATTCTATCTAAACCACAAAGGAAATGAAATACTAAGCTATTATTATTATTTTTTTTTTTATTGTTGCTGTTAGTTGTAAGGAAACATTGAGTTGGTTTCAATTCATAGTGACCCTATGAATCCTGTGGTCACAATGCTTCCTGGTCCTGCAATAGCCTCACAATCCTTTTACGTTTGAACTCGTTGTAGCCACTGTGTCAATCCATCTCCTTGAGGACCTTCAACCTTCATGTTTTTTGCTGACCCGCCTCTACTTTACCAAGCCCAATTGTCCTTCTCCAGAGAGTGGATCCTTCCTAATAACATGTCCAAAGTATGTGAGCAGTCTTGCCATCCTCTCTTCTAAGGAGCATTCTAGCTGCATGTCCTCTAAGACATATTTATTCGTTCTTCTGGTAGTCCACCGTATATTCAATATTCTTTGCTAACACCATAATTCAAATGTATCAATTATTGTTTGGTCTACCTTATTCATTTTCCAGCTTTCACATGCATATGAAGTGATTAAAAACAACATAGTTAGGGCCAGGAGACCTTAGTTCTCAAAGTGACATCTTTGCTTTTAAACATTTTAAAAAGGTCTTTTGTAACAGATTTGCTCAATGTGATATGTTGTTTGATTTCTTGACATTGATTGTGGATCCAACTGACATGAAATCCTTGATAACTTTAACCTTTTCTCCATTTATCATGATACGGCTTATTTGTCCATTTGTGAGGATATTTATGTTCTTTATGTTGAGATGTAATCGATAATTGAGGCTATGCTCTTTGATATTCATCAGTAAGTGCTTCAAGTCCTCTTCATTTTCAGCAAGCAAGGTTGTGTTGTCTGTATATCACAGGATGTTATTGAGTCTTCCTCCAAATCTGATGCCATGATCTTCTTCATATAGTCCTACTTTTCAAATTATTTGCTCAGCATACAGCTTAAATAAGTACAGTGAAAGGATGCAACCCTGATTCGCACCTTTCCTGATTAGAAACCACACAATATCCACTTATTCTGTTCAAATGACTGCTCTTGATCTGTGTACAGTTCTGCATGAGTACAGATAAATGTTCTGGAATTCCCACTGTTCACAATGTTATCCATAATTTGTTATGTTCTACACAATCAAATGTCTTTGCATTGTTCATGAAACACAAGTAAAGTACTTTCTGGTATTCTCTGCTTTCAACAAAGATCCATGTGATGTTAGCAATGCTATCCCTCATTCAACATTCTCTCCTGAATCCATTTTGAATTCTTGGCAGTTCCTTATCAATGTACTGCTGCAACTCTTTTTGAATTATCTTCAACAAAATTTTACTTGCATATTACATTAATAATATTGTTCAGTAATTACCACATTCTGTTGTGTCTCTTTTCTGTGAAATGGGAAGAAATATGGATGTCCTCCAGTCAATTGGCCATGTAGCTGTCTTTCAAATTTCTTGGCATAAACGAGTGAGTGCTTCCAGCGTTTTACCCATTTGTTGAAATATCTCAATTGATATTCCATCAATTCCTGGAGACTTGTTTTTCCCCCTTGTGTTCAGCCTAGCTTGGACTTCTTCCTTCAGTACTATTGGTTCTTGATTGTATGCTACTTCCTGAAATGGGTGAACATCAACCACTTCTTTTTGGTACAGTGACTCTATATAGTCCTTCTATCTTCTTTTGATGCTTCCTGTAACATTCAGTAATTTGCCCATAAAATCCTTCAGTATTGCAACTTGAGGCTTGATTCCTGCCCCCCAGTTTTTTAGCTTAAAAAAATGCTGAGCATGTTCTTCCCTTTTGATTTTTTTAACTCTGAGTCTTTGCACATTTGATTATACCACTTTGCTTTGCCTTCTTAAGCTGCCCTTTGAAATCTTCTGTTAGGCTCTTTTAGTTCATCATATCTTCCATTTGCTTTAGCTATGGTACATTTAAAAGCAAGTTTCAGAGTCTCTTCTGACATCCATGTTGGTGTTTTCTTTCCTTTCTGGTTTTTAATGATCTTTACTTTCTACATGTATGATGTTCTAGATGTCATCCCACAGTTCATCTTGGCTTTGGTCATTAGTATTCAAATGCATCAAATTAATTCTTGAGATGGTCTTTAAATTCAGGTGGTATATATCCAGGGTCATTTTTAGGCGCTCATGGACTTGTTTTAATTTTCTGTAGTTTCCACTTAAAGTTGTGCTTTGGTTACCTCTGTGTTGCTCTGATAGAAAATACCACAAATGGGATGGCTTTAACAAGCAGGAGTTTATTCTTACAGTTTTTGGAGGCTAGAAGTCCAAGTTCCAAGTGCCAGCCTCTAGGGGCTATGTGAAAGCCCCTTGACCTTGGACTTTAGCTCTGCCTCTTGCTCCCAGCCCACTGAAACTAGATGCATCTCTTCACTCAGGCAGCTAATGGCTGCTAGGCTAACAAGCCCAAGGTCAACAAATAAAATGGCACAGTCCCAATGTTACCAAACAACATGGCAGGCCACTAATTCAAGTCCAGATGAAGTCCCAAGATTGGCAGGGCATGGCAGGCTATTGAACAACGACTTGGCTACATGCAGAGTTCAAGTGGACAGAAAGTCTAGAGACCATTCCCAAAGCTGTTTTTTATATATATGAAGCAGACCACATCCCTAAAGCAGCTACTCAGCTGCTCCAATAGATTCCACCATGGAGTTAACTACTAATCTTACTATGGGGAATAACTACATCCAGCTGCCCAGCCACTCAACCAGGCCATGCCAAGTTGACACACAAACTTAACTACCACAAGTTGGATAGTATCAATTGGTTGTTCTGACTGATGATACTGAGCTTCTTCATCATCTGTTTCCACAGAAGTAGTTGATTTGATTCTTGTGTATTACATTTGATGAGGTCCACATATGTAGTCTCTGTTTATGTTGTTGAGAAAGGTATTTGCAATGAGTATGTCCTTGATTTTGTAAAATTCTATCATGTGATCTCTGACATCGTTTCTATCACTAAGGCTTTATTTTCCAATTACCAATGCTTCTTTGTTTCCAACTGCTCCATACAATCATCAATAATCATTAGTGCATCTTGATTGCATGCTTGGTCAATTTCAGACTGCAGAATTTGGTAAAAATCTTCATTTTTTTCACCTTTGGCATTAGTTGTTCATATGCAAATTTGAATAATGGTCATATTAACTAGTCTTCCTTATAGACATATGGATATCCTATCACTGATAGCATTGTACTTCAGTTTAGATTTTGAAATGTTCTTTTTGAGGATGAACACAGCACCATTCCTTTTCAATTTGTTATTCCCACTGTAGTAGACCATATGCCTATCTGATTAAAAATGGCCAATACTGGTCTATTTCAGCTCTCTAATGCATATAGGATACCAATCTTTATGTGTTCCATTTCATTTTTTTATGACTTCCAATTTTCCTAGATTCATATTTCACATATTCCATGTTACAATTATTAATGGATATTTTCAGCTGCTGCTTCTCATTTGACCATTGTTACCTCAGCAGATTAAGGCCCTCAAAGCTTTACTCCACCCACATAATTAGATTGACTTAATGACTGAGGAGATAACTCTTTCCGAGTTATATTTTGAATACTTCTAATCTGTTGGGGTTATCTTCTTGTGCTTTATCAGACAACATGCTCCTGATATTCATAAGGTTTTCACTGGACAGTTTTTTCAAAAAATGTATCACTAGATCCATTGTCCTCATCTGTCTTAATCTGAAAATTTTACTGAAGGCTGTCCACCATGGATGATGCTGGTAGTATATGAAAAACTGGCAGCATAGCTTCCAGCATCATAACAATATTTTTAACTGCAAATATTTTAATTAAAGTAAAAATATATGGAAAAATATACAGATGATAAGTATACACCTTAATGAATTATCCCAAAGTGAACACTTGTCTGAGCACTACACAGGCCAAGACATAGAATGTTACCAATGACCTCCATTTCTGTGCCTTCCCATCATATCCCTTTCCAGTCTCTACCCACTTCTTCCTCTTCAAGGGAAATGACTTTCCTGATCTGTAGTACCATGGATTATTTTTGCTTGCATTTGAATTTAAATTAATCTGCTTTATGGTTTTTTTTTTTTTTCCTCTGTATACCTTACTTCTTTCCATCAGTTGCAAATTGACATTTATATTTATTTTGTATGTAGCCATTTACTTTTCTTTATTCTATAGTGGTCCACTGAATACTTATACTAAAATTTATTTATCCATTCTACTTTGGAAAAAAAAAAGTTTGTTAAAAATAATGCTATTAGGAACATTCTTAATGCATATATTTTTTGAAAACATATATATTCATTTCTTTTGAATAACATAGTTGACAGTTGTGGAATTTCTGGGGAATACTACATGGTTTTCCAGGTTATTGTGCTAATTTCATTCATGCCAGTATTGTTAGAGGATTTCAGTCATCCTTTTTATTATCCAAAACTTGATATTGTTTTGCTTTTTAAATTTGCACCAGTCTAATGGGTGTACAGTGGGATTTCATTAAGTTTTTAATTTTCATTTTCCCAGTGATTAATAATGTTGAGCACCTTTTCATATTTATTGACCTTTTGGATAACCCCAGCCACTCCTTGGAAGGAAGGTTGGGCAATCTACTTCTGTAGTGATACCGCCTTGAATACCCAAGGAGGGGTCACTATGAGTCGGATCCGACTCGACAGCAGTGAGTTTGCTTTGTTTTTTCTGTCATGTAATTTTAAACCTCTTTTATATTTTTTTCCATTAGATTTTTCTCTTACTGATTTGTCATTTATTCTATTAGCTGGATACAAACATTTTGTTTATTAAATGTGTTTGAAATATACTCTATGACTTGCCCTTTCACTCACAAAATGGTATCATTTGATTTATCTTTAAGATAATATCACTAATTAGATAATTAATTTAATTAATTATATCTCTAATAGTGTCCTTGATTGTTTGAGTGTGTTTTTCCTTCTAGTAGTATATCCAAGAGAAAGCTTTTTATTTGGTTATTATATGTCTTTAATCTTCTTTACTCTGGAACAGTTCCTTAGCTTTTTATTACCATTTATGGCATTGACATTTTGAAAGAGTGCTAGCTAGCTAGTTACTTTTGTAATATATCTGTCAATGTAGGTTTGACTGTTTAGATTCACAGTTAGATTAGTATCAAACATTTTTGGCAGAACTATTAAAAAATAGTGTTGGGTCCAAACCCACCAGCCACTCCTCAGAAGGAAGATGGGGCAATCTACTTCTGTAGTGATACTGCCTCGGAAACCCAAGGAGGGGTTGCTGTGAGTCGGGTCCAACTTGACAGCACATAACAACAACATCATTTTTTCCCCCTTTATGTTAATATAAAGTTTAATAACTTATTTAAATGGAATTTTGTAAAATCTTGTCCTCAAAAAATAGTTTCAGTATCTAATGGTGGTTATTGTTTGAATCAGTTAGTACTGATGGTTGTTACAAAATGGTGGTTATTTTTAAATTTTGTCAACTTTTCTATGTTTATTAATTTGCATCCTACTGTAAAGAAGTATTAACTTACCCTTCCTCCTTCTCTTCCTTCTTTTTCTTATGCCAATAGGGACTCAGATTTTTTTTATTATTTTTCAATGTGTTACATTACTCGAATTATTCATTTAGATTCTCAAAATTTCTTTATTTGGCCAATGGGAGGCCCTTTTAATTCGTACCTGTGTCTTTTTCACCTTTCTCTGTGGTTGATGAGTACTTTCTTTCTAACACAAAATGTTTCAAACTTGTATGTACTTTCCCAGCCCTGCAATCTGACATTTCTACAAGGAGCCATAGTCCATTTAGTGAAAACTGATCAATGGAAATCTGTATTTACGCTCTGTTGGTATAGTGGTTAAAACATTTGGCTACTAATTAAAAGGTTGGCAGTTCAAACCCACCAGCTGCTCTGTAGGGGGAAGATGAGGCAGTTGGCTTCTGTGAAGATTTACACCCTTGGAAACCCTATCAGGCAGTTCTACTCTGTCCTACAGGGTCATTATGAGTTGAAATCAACTTGATGGCAGTGGGTTTGCATTTTTTTGGAAGTGTTCTTATTGCTACTAGACTATTGTGGATTCTACGCATTTTCAGCAGACAGAACATGCAAACATTAAAACAAAACAACAACAAAAAACTGAAGTTTTTACTGTTACCCTCTCCTTCCAAATGCAACATAGTATTCTTTGCCTTTTTCTCCTACGCTATATTTGCTTCTTCTTTCCTTCATGGTGAGAAACTGAATTCCTCACAAAATCAGTATGTTTTCTAATTTATTTAGTCTAATGATACATATAAGTGTTATATAATTTTTGGGGTAGATATTTTATGCATTTTAAATTATTTTTTTCCCTGGGAATTAAAGCTATAATGAATAATATTTTTTATTTCATTTTCTGGATATTTACTTCTGCATAGAGATAGATTTCAATAGCTTTTTTCCTATTAACATTGACTTTGTATTCAATGATCTTATTTAATTTGACAATTAGATGCTAATTCTAATAGTATATTTTCAGATTATTTTATATTTTCTATGGAGGATCATATATACAAATAATGTCAATTTTATTTTTTTCAGTCCTCATATATATTATTTCTCTTCCTTTCTTTACTGTCCTGGAGAAGACCTGTGGTACAAGGCTTAACAAAAGTGGTCAAAGCTGGCATCCTTATCTTACTTTGCACTTCAAAAAAATATTTTTTTTTGATGTTTCACTATTGTGTGATATTTGCTATAGGTTTTTTGTAGCAATCTTTATCACATTAAGGAGATTCCCATTTATTTCTGTTTTTATAGTTCTTTTCTGTTTGTTTCTTCTTAAAAAATAATGAGTAGCTGTTGAATTTCATCAAATGTGTTTTATACATCTAGTGAGATGACTGTATGACTTTCTCCTTTATTCTCTTATCTTAATGTGTGGCTTTTAATGATTATTGCTAAATGTTATGTTAACCTTGTATTTCTGGATTTAAACTGAATTAGTTGTGATATATAAGTCTTTTAAAATATATATTTAGATTCAATTGGCTTGTTAGATTCAAAATACTTGTTGGGGATATTTTAGTCTATTTTTCTGGGAAATATTGACATGTGTCATTTTGGACAGATTTTTTTTAATTTCTGTGGGCCTCTGTTCCTTATCTGCAAAAGGAAGCAGAATCCTGACTCTTAGAAGTCATATAGTGATTAAATTACCTCACTAATTAAAAATATTAGCATATACTCATTAAATGCCTTGCTCCAGATGAAAGACATCTTTGGTGAAGGAGGTAGCAAACTATGTATATATTTTGGATGATTATGATTTTTTTAAACCATAATATGTTAATTTTAAGACACTCTATTAGCACTGTGGTTAAAACATTGAGCTGCTAAACCAAAAGTTTAAACTTAGCAGCTGTACCATGGGAAAAAGATGAGATAGTCTGCTTCCATAAAGATTTATGGCCTTGGAAACCCTACGGGGATCACTATGAGTCAGAAGCAACTTGATGGCCGTGGGTTTGGTTTGGTATTAGTTTTATTATTTCACACATTAATTGTTATCTCTAACCTGTATCCTTTTACTATTACAGATGTTTCTCATTTGGTATCGGAGAAGGTGCTTCCACCAGCCTGATAAAAGGCATTGCCCGGGCAACAGGGGGCACTTCAGAATTTATCAATGGCAAAGACAGGATGCAGTCCAAGGTGAGGGATAGGTCTGTGTCCAGGGGCAACAGTCAGAGGGCCTAGGGAGCAGTGTGGTAGACACTGCCACAAGGGCTAGGGCAACAACATGACTCTTAAGATTCATTATTGTCCATCCCCAGGGCTTTGGGTTATATGCTTAGTGGGGCTGTTTTGGGATTTATGTGTGAAAAGGTCTGACTCTAAATTTTGGATAAATGATATATGGTCCTAGTAGCTGGGTGCTCAGAGATGAGATCCTGAAAGAGGTTGGGGCTTTATATTTGAGAGCAGAGGTAGAGAAGCTAAGAATTTTGGTTGTCATAATTGATAGTCCAGGTCTGTGTTATAGCACCTCTTTTGGTCCTATATGTTATCCTTCATGCAAAAGATACAAGGAAAACTGGAAGAAATGATTGTAATATGTCCCATAGATTAGAAGAGTGGTATATTGATGCTCCATTTGATCAGCATGCATAAGGGGAAGATGTATTCCTCTCTGGTTGTATTTCTGAATTCCTCTTTTCCATTAGGTACCATCTCTTATCTAATTCCTACTTTTCCAGGCATATCCTTTCCCAAACATTACCTTCATTCACATTTATGTTATTAAATCTCTTAGTCTTTGCTTCCTTTTGGTGTGGAACAAGTATAATATGTATTGGCTGTGTTATTAGGCATAACATGTATTGTGACACCTAGCACCTGGTATATAATCTATATTCAACTAATGATACTTGTCATTACTACTACGATTTTTGTGGTTATTCTGTCCTTTCTCCCCCCCCCCCCCAGGCTCTTTTGGCTCTGAAGCGTTCTTTGCAGCCTGTGGTAGAGGACTTCTCACTGAGCTGGTCTTTGCCTGTTGGTCTGTCTGCTAAAGTGCTTTCCCCAGAACAGTCAGTTATATTTAGGGGTCAGAGGTTAATCATCTATGCTCAATTGATTGGGCCAATGCCGGTGAGTTCTCATTTTTTTTTGTTCCTCTAGACAGAGTAGCTGCTTCCCTAAATCCTGCTCCAGACTTTATCAGTATAGCTAGTAGGTAGATTTGGATCTCATTAAGAGACAACACTTCCCAGGAGGATCCAGCTTAGCCACTTCCCCATCATTAAAAGTCTCTGATTTCTTGGGTTACCTTGGACTTAGTTAGAATTTTTTAATGGGTGATGTTGGGAAGCTTCTTTAGTTCTAACTCTTCTCTTGATGATCTGTCCTTTCCATCATACCTGTTTTTCTCTTATTTGTAGCCAAAGGAGGCAAGAGGAGAAGTATGCCTTAAGTACATACTTCAGGGCGAGAGTTTTGAGAATAAGGTGGCATTTTCTCTACATCCCAACCCTGACACCAAGTGAGAATTTACAATTTTCTTCTTCTATTTCCTTTCTTTTTGTAAGATCAGTTATTTCTCTAAGATGACATCTCCCCTGTAACCTACACAAATCTCATCTCTTTCCTTATCTGGCTTTTCTCTCCCTCTACCACTTATAACTTTTGAGGGTCCTAAGTAACTGGCACATGGGCATTTTTCTGTAAGTCACAGAAGTTTTCATTTCAGCTTCACCATTCACCGCCTTGCTGCCAAGTCCTTGCTCCAGATGAAGGACATGGGCTTCAGAGAGACCCCAGCAAATGATAAAAAAGAAGTGTTGAAGATCAGCCTTGAGTGTGGAGTCATAAGCTCTCACACAGCTTTCATTGCCATCAACAAGGATCTGAATAAGCCAGTTCAGGGGCCCCTGGTTCGTAGAGATATTCCCAGGCCAATTCTGTTGGGGGCTCATGCTACAATGCCAAGATATTATGGGTGTGGTAAGTATCATGCCTCTCAAATGCATGTAGAATGAGTAAGAGGGCCTGGATAACTAAGCACATTATTTAAAGGAACAGTTCATGAAAAGTCCTTAAATTGCCCTGTTTTCCTTGTCCCTCCATATCTAGGGTTTCTGGCTGGTGTTAAAAAAGTATTCCATGGTAGGGATCTAGAATATATAACACAAAGTGATCAAAAGGGAAAACAAAACAAAACAAAAACAAGGAAATGTTAATACATAGAAAAGGTACGTAAGCATTAAGTACTAGGTTATCTAAACCAGAAATTGGTTTGTCCTCTTGATGCCTGTATTAATGATCACACAGATGGCTGATGAACAACCTGATAGTGGTAGGAAATGGATGTTGATTGCCAGGACTGTGTCAGGCACAAGCCAAGCAGCCTTAATTTTGGAGAGTAGGAGCTTGAAAGCTTGGGTCTGGTGAAGGAACTCTCTGGACAAGATTCCACAGCTGGAAGGGAATTTACAATGATAGTTTTGGAGGCACTTTTGAAGATGAGTCCTATATCTCTCATGCAGCATCTATCTTGCTAAACTTTTAACTATTTCTGCATCTGTTATATATTAGTTGTTGTCCTTCTCATCGCAGATGAGATGCAATGGGAAGATGTGAAAAAAAAAAAAAAATGCATTTCCTATCCCTAAGAAATTACTGACTAGGGGGTGAGTTGTGGGAAAGGGTGAAGACAGCAAACAGATAAACAGCTTTTCAAGGAGGTATAAAAAATACTATAATATGGGTAAACCCAAGATGTGTGAAACCATGAAGGTTAGGTGTCAAACCCAGTAGGGGACAGAATGCAAATCAAAAATGTCTCTTTAAATAGGTTACATTTAATGGGAGACCTACAGGATTAGGTAGATAATCTTGGTAAGGAGTAGGGAACAAAAACATTCTAGGTATCAAAATCAGCATGTGAAAAGACTCAGATGAAAGATTAAGGAGTGATGTCAGTGATTTAGATGTTTTGATTTGGCTGCAACACACAAAGCAAAGTGAAGAATGAGGACAAATAAGGAGAATAATGCAGGGCCTACATTATAAAGGTCAAGGGACACTGATTTAGGCTGTAGGAGTGGTTGTACATATGGACATTGAACTGACTCAAGATGATAGAAAGACTTTGGGAAGATCCCCATAATCTAGGTTTCAAAATCTTAGATGATTATGAAGTGGGATCAAGAAGTTTGTCAATGATTATTATAAGGATGATATCTACCATTTGTATGGGTTTACTGTGTGCCAAACCTTGTTCTAAGTACTTTACACATATTGAGACAATTAACCTTTACTACGATCTTATAAGTCACTGTGCCATTTTACAGTTAACTATACTAAAGACTTTGGGCTGTATTTGGGGGAGCTTGAATGAATTTCAGGAGGGGATTGATGTGATTAACCTTGTGTTTTATGGACATCACTCCCAGTGTAAAGAATGGTTTCAAAAGAAACAAGATTTCTAGAAAGACAGATACCAAACTATTGTCTTAAATGAGGAAAAAGAAGTGGACTAAACTGAGGTACGAGCCATGTGTATACAGAGAAGAGAGCATGACTGACAGATTATAAAGAGCTGATTTAGTGATTGAGTGTGAAGATGGTAAGTCATGAATGACAATGCCCAGATTTCTGATTTGGGCAACTGGGTGGATGATGTAACCATATAAACAGGGAACCAAAAAACAAGAGTAAGTTTAGGGTGAGGAAGAATGTTGAATTGCTTTTAGAGCATTTGGAATGTGAGATGTATAGAGTATCTGTGAAGAAATCCAATAGAAATAGAGACAGATGAGTCAAATGTTCAGAGGAGAGATCAAAGTTGAAGATAGACATTTGGCTTGGGCAATCTACTTTCGTAGTGATACTGTCTCAGAAACCCAAGGAGGGGTCATTATGAGTCAGGTCCAATTCAATGGCAATAACAACAGCAGCAACAACCATCTAGATAATAACTAGTAGTTATAACAATGGATAAAATTATTCAGAGAAATGAGAAGAAAAGGGGGGTGAAATTGAAACCCTGAGGAATGTCTATTTTCTAAGGGATGGTCAGCAGAGGAGTCCAAACAAAAATGAAGAGAAATGAGGTCGGAAGAAAAGAAATGAGTGCACAGTCAAAACTAAAGCAAACTTTGGTACAATTAAGGGAGTTATACAAATATTAGAGATTGCAAAAAAGTCAAGTAAAATCTATAAAGGAACCATTGGGTTAAGTGTCAAAGAAGTCCTTGCTGATCTTATTAAGAGCAATTTTATTGGACTGATCAGGTGAAGATCCACACTATAGAATGTTAGAGAGTAAACAAAGGAGTCTGGTAGCGCAGCAGTTAAACAGCTGACTGAAAGGTACAAAACCACCCAGTGGCTCTACAGGATGAAGTCCTGGCAAACTGTTCCTGTGACGATTACAGCCTAGAAAGCCCTGTGGGATAGTTCTTTGTCACATGGAGTTGAAAAGCCTCTTTATGGCACCTAATAACAACAACTGAGAATAAATGAGAGGCAGAAAATGGGGAGGAAGATGCTTATGTAGATACTTTTTATAACTGTTTGGTTGAAAAAGGAAAGGGGTAGAGAATGATAACTATAGAGGAGGTTGTAGAGTGGAAGTGGGTTTTTGTGTATCATATATCTTTTCTGTTAGTTTTAGAATGGGGGAGCATGTTGCAATACTAATTGGAAGGTGCCAGTAGAAAGAGTTTGTGTGTGTTTAGTTGTTTAAGAAGGGTGTTTGAGAAAGGAAATGGACATGGAATCTAGAGAAGCAGTGGGTGGATGAGCTTCAAAACAAGTGACATTCTCCCACTATTGCCAGGAAGTTGAGGAAAGGTGATGGGGGTTAGATTTTAGTTTACAGACAGAAACACAAATTTTGGAGTGTCTGTCTGAACATTTTTCTATAGTTTTAATGAAATAGACGACAAGATTAGCTTATGAGTTTAGAGATGGGAGAAAAGGATATCTAAGGGAAGAGGAGAAGGCTTGAAATAGCCACTGTGAATAACTGAAGAGTGGACTGCCCGGGAGAAAGAGAAGAATTTGTGAAGGCGTGTTGAGGGTACAGATTAATTTAGACACCTTGACCTTTTCCATGGCACCAAACTACTAAAGAAGATTGTGATTTATATGATTCATTTGTTAGTACTTAACATCTTGGAGGTTGAGGATTGGATTAATTTCAAGGATGGAGTTTTCCAGGTGAGTGTGATGAAAGGACATTATGGGCATGGCTTTGAGATTGATAAGAGGATGATAAAGTCTTAGACCTAATATATAGCCTAAGGAGAGAAGACTGAATAGAGAAGAGGTTAAAGATAAAAGGAAGTTGGTAGACTAAAAATAGAGAGGTCAGGGAACTAGAGGTCCAGATGAGGTGAAAGATCACTGACAATAGGAACCTTTGAGCTCTAGTAGCATAGTGCCTACAGCATTTGACTGCTAACCAGGAGGCTGGTTAAGGAATAAGCCTCCAATTGTCAAGGCCCTTTGTCTGCTCCAGGAGCTCTGGTGGTGTAGTGCCTAAGGCATTTGACTGCTAGCCAGAAGGCTGGCAGTGCAAACCCACCAGCCATTCCTTGGAAGGAAGGAATCTACTTCCTTGGAAGGTTGGGCAATCTACTTCCATAGTGATACTGCCTCAGAAACCCAAGTATGGGTCACTATGAGTCAGATCTGACTCCACGGCAATGTGTTTGGTTTGGTTTAGTTTGCCTGCTCCAGAGAACAGCAGGCGTTTCATTGTCAGTGTCTGTCCTGGTGTTTTTTCAGCTTATCCAAAGACTTCATCCTCCTACTATATGCCTGCAGCTGAATCCATGAGGAGCACTCTTTATTACTCGAACATGCCATGTCAACTAAGAAGCAATGGAGGTTCAAGGGCTTTTGGTCGCTGTAGGCCAATGAGTTACAGGGAAATGTACACTCTAGGTAAGCGTCTCTCCAGAGGCTTTTCTCACCAATGTTTGTGTGTCATACATATAGGAATAGACAAATCCAAATTTCTTGGTGTCAAACAAAAGAAGAGATGCATGTCTCCCAAAGAGACCTCCCCTGGGATGGGAAGGACTCATTGTCCCACCAACACAACCAACTTGGAAACTCAACAGTCAGGTGAAGGTGGGCCTCAGTTTGTTTCTATGACCTATGAGGACTGAACTAATTTTCTATGCTCTGCTCTTGTGGCTTTCTGTACCTAGGTGATAATCCATTTTAAAAGCATCGGTCAGAGAGTGAAATTTATCCAGTCTCTAGATTTGCCGTGGTCAGTGCAGCTTAGTCTACAATATAGAACCCTGAAACCTGCTACCCAGTGGAGTCTGGGGTGAATCCTAGTTAAATAAAACACATTTGCTGACTCAGCTCACGTAGTTCAGCAAACTGGAGGCTTCCTATTGTTTTTCTTTTCCAGTTATTCTTGATTTGCTCATTTTCCTGACTGCTAGTCAAGGTCAATTCTTCTGAAAGAATTGGCCAGGGAAAACCTTATGAATAGCAAAGAAACTCTGTTTGGTACATTACCG